AGACGAAACATTACTTGACTACATAATCATTTCATGTCAGTGGTAAGGTGAACACCTGCAACTGCAGGATTTGGGGCAGCGAAAATCCACGTGCATCTCTGGAACATGTTCGTGACAGCCCAAAGGTGAATGTGTTTTCTGCCAGTAGCAAAGTTAAAGTGTACGGCCCGTTCCATGAGAGAACCATCAACTGTATCGTGTATCTGGATATGCTCGAAAATTTCCTCATACCACAGTTAGACGAAGATGGCCAAGGACGCATTCACTTCCAGCAAGGCGGCGCGCCACCTCACTACCTCACAGAAGTCCGGGATTTCCTCAATAACCGTTTCCCAGGTCGGGGGATTGGTCGAACAGGGCCGATAGCATGGCCACCTCGTTCTCCAGATTTGACACCTCTCGATTTTTTCTTATGGGGTTCCATTAAAGATTTTGCCACCCTTACCTGCCAGTCTCACTGAGCTCAAAGCTCGAATCACCGCCGCAGTTGCAGAAGTGACACTGGATATGTTGGATCGTGTTTGGCAAGAAATTGATTTCAGGTGGGATGTCTGCAGTATCACCAATGGCAATAACATCGAACCAAAATGACTGTTGGAGGTAAAACTTGATTTGTTTTGCTACAAAATCACACCTCAGCCGACTCTGTAAGACTTCTGAATAAATTTCTATACACTTTCAAAGTTGTAAAGTCCTTTTAGAATCACCCTGTATATTTATGTACCAGGGCATTGGGAAGAGCATTTTATTAGCTCTGCCTTTTATACAAGCCAAACAAATCCGCCCTCTTTGATGTTTTAGGTATTCAGTGGGCTGTAGCGCCGTGTAGCGTGGTAGGAGTTTCCCAGTTTTTCAAATGTCCTGGCTGTCTCCATCATCAGGGAGATGAGTCGGCTGGGATCTCTGAAACTCTTGTAAACTCTTATCACACTACACGGCGCAACCTAGAAGATAGCCGCCTTCATGTGGAGTGTTGTTTCGTCAGAAAATGACTGTTCAGATAGTCACCACCTTCTCGAAAAACACGCATCAACGTAGTAGCACTGTCTCTTCGCAGTCCCCCGGGGCCCTTAAACAGTTACTGGGAATGGCAAAACAAAAACAAGGCAAGGACAAGAAGAAAGCTTAATATAAAGTACGGAAATGCAATAAGCATTTTCAAACTTTATTCCAGTTTTGTGACTTGCCTTATGAAGCACATTAGGGCAAATGGTAAAAACAGAATGGGAAAAAAGCTGTGATAGTAAACAAAATAGTTCCTCTGAAGGTTATTTAAGAAAACTATAAAATTATACAAATGTCAATGCACGATGATAACCCTAAAGATCGAAGTGCCTTTAAAGCCAGGAACGTAACTCAGGCGCATGCGTCAAAAACTTCACGTTTAAAGACGCGAAGACAAAACTACAGAAGCAGGAGACGAGGAAAGGCAGAAACGAGAACAAATAAAATATTCTAACGAAATGTGAAATTCGAAGTGTGCCCGACGGTGAGGATGTGATCTATGTACCCAGGGTTGTACCGCTGTATGAACTTGTAGGTCACTGAGAGCGTTCTAGATTTCGCTTGAGAGGCCGAACTCAGCCCGTGGGCCTGACCTACAAAGCAAAGCAAACAAAACAACACCAGTCCAAATATTCTGGACATACGACGACGGACGCCAGCACCTACCGGATTTCAACCCTGCCGAAACGACGATTTTGAAACACCCAGGCAAGACAAGATTTTGGAAACTAACAGGGGGAAGGCTGGGGGAGTGATCATCATCCGGGGCGCCCCACAACCAGTAAAAAAAGATGGAGAGCGGGAAAAGGAAGGAGACGGGGGGGGGGGGGGAGGGTGGGCCCTCAAGTGGCGGAAATCCAAAACAAGGCACACCACAATCAATGCTCTAAAGAGTGGGAATCAATGGCGGCACGAAAGAGTCGAGAAATATTTGACACGACACGAACGCCATTGGTAATTTTCCAAGACGCACGCGGTTCTGCGATCTGCACGTGGCGTTCAAAGTTCCGAACGTTATGCAGGCAGCAATCGGAAGTGACACAGAATTATCACAAAACAAATGTTCGCAGTATCGGAAAAGGCAAAGCCTATACACGAAACATGAACAGAAGGCTTAAACTTGGCGACGGTCGAACCTGCGTACCGAAGGACAATTTGACACGAGGCATAATCCGCTCGCTGCACACGGCCTGGACACAAGCCTCGTCGTATATATTACACATAATGAAGTGCTAATGTCGAGTCTGCACACACGCGTACCGTGACGTGTAAATATGTACAGCTTTGGCAAGGGACGTCACTGATGACAACGGACAGTCTTGCCTCGCCATCTTATCCGAGAGGACGCCACATGACGACCGCCAGACCCGGTCACGAGTCCCAAAAGGGGCTCGACACCAAGACAGGCTGGATGACTGTTCTCTGTTGCAAAGGAACTTGGAGCATCGCCACTTCAGCCCCGAAGATGGAGGCATTAGTTCCTCCTAAACGTCGGCATATACCGACGAGTCTATTAATGCGCCAAGTCACACAACAAAATTATTATGAAGATAAACAGTCGACTCACCACACACAATGTTGTTTCAAGGTGAACCTCCTATCAGCCCCTTAAACTGAAGGTTGTATACAAAAAAATGGAGACAACATTTTTCTCATTCAGTTCCTGTACGCTGTAAAACATTCACGAGAATCGCCCAATCTTATCTTCCGTACTTCCCCTCCACCCCCGACCTGTCTATCTCAGGCACAAACTGGGGATTCACACCAAACGCGCACGTCCACTTCCTTCTTACCTCGATGACCATAAACCCGCAACTTGCAAGCAGCGTCACATCTCTCCATGCTTGTTACTAATTTTCCGACTGTTTCATGAGCATAACATCAGCGCATCATCGAATAACTTTTTCTTTTAGAAAGAGAAAAAAAGAGATGACCCCGAGAAAGCCCCACACGGCCATACCTTTAGACTGCGACCACTTGAACTCGGTCCGATTTAGAACATTATCCACGCTACAAGACCCGGTCCGTGTCGACCTCTAATCTGAGAGACCAACGCAAGGCCTCCTGGCCACAACAAAGTAATTATTTAAATAGGTTTACGTTTAGAAGGAGGGGCGTCGAATTCTACCCTCCGATTCGGGCTCTGTTTGGTACGTGCTTCACCGGAATGTCACAGTCCCCCGAAGAAGAGGATTTTCGTATCGTCGGTGATACACATTAGAACACGGAATACTATTAAGTTTGTCAGAAATGTCCGCGTCTTGTGTTTGCCAGGGGAACCCACTAGTGTGGTCCGTACATTCGCTAATTCACCAAGTGCCAATGCTGACGTATGTGATGGCTTAGTTTAATAATATTCCTTTATTTAATTAACTGAATATTGTATACATCTTTTTCGGACGCCCTGTGTGTGTGTGATTATTTTTAAATCACTGTTATTACAGCATCAAATTCTTTAATGAAGCAAAGATAAATTACTAGAATGATCAAATCGATGTC